GAGAGAGAGAGAGAGGGGACGCTCCAACGTTTGGTACGTAAGTGTCGCGATCAGCTAACGGCATACATACAGAGCAAACTTCATTTGGACTCTCTAAAGCGGCGGATGCGTCTTACTTGCTATCTCATTTCTTTCCTCTCTTTCTTCTCCAGTCAGGTGGCGGAACAGTGCACATCCCAGGGACTACAGCATTGCCGCTGGATTTAACAGCCCGAGCAGATTTTTCCCCTCTTTTTTTGTTTCCCCCCTTTTTCTGTTTGTTTAAAACTGCGAGGATGTCTGGACAGAGCATAACGGACCGTATAACGGCAGCGCAACACAGTGTTACCGGTTCCGCGGTGTCCAAAACGGTGTGCAAGGCGACCACGCACGAAGTCATGGGGCCAAAGAAAAAGCATTTGGACTGTAAGTGTCATGGGATTTTGTACTATCTTGCTTTCGGACCCGCGGTTGAAAGTTACGTCAGTCAGTCACTCGTCGCCCTGGGAACGAGAGGTTCTGGGCTCGAGGCCTGCAAAAGATCCATGTTCAGTGCTGTTCGTGTTATTTAACCAGCTTCCTCTAGCCACCTTTGCTGATGTTGAAACCGATCATTTGTGTCCCCTTTGCATGGAGTTTTGAGATGGCATGAGTGCAGTGCAGTGCATTTAATGATTTAACTTGCTAACTAATAAACACGTTTTAAAATGAACCCATCTGCTCTCTGATCAGGACGCTTGCAGGTTGAGTCGAATGGATTCATTGAGAAATCTGATGATTGCAAACAAACGTGCTTTCGGTATGAAAGAAAATCCCCGTTTTCTGTCTTTTTGAGGTTGCAACACACGTTTTATTGGGGCCATATTACCATATGACTAATTTATTTTTCTTAAAGGAATAGTTAACTAAATGAAAATTCTGTCACTGCGGTCAAGCACAATTTTCTGTGATTAACAACTGTAATTTCACTTTATTCTTCACACAAAGTTATCCAATGACTTTAAAGACTTGGAAAATATAGTGCATGGGTTGTGTGAATTATTTTCTGATGTTTTATTGTATTTTATATTGCCTTTTGATGCTTGAAAGCTGTAGTCACCATCCACTTTCATTATGAGGAAAAAGAGCTGCTTAGGAATTTTTATATTATAAATATAAACTTAAATGTAATCAATACATATTTCACAGAAGTGTCTAAAGTTAGGGTTATGAAAGGCATGAAATTGAGTAAATGATCATTTTCATATATGTAGTCCATTATTGGCACAATCCTGCCAGCAGGTGAACGCATGAGACTGTTCTGTCAAGTTAACTTTTAACTTCATGAAGATGTCATATTTATTGCTTGTTATAAGGTGGAATCAGGTTGTCTTCTCAGAGTGAGATGTTCTCGGTCTCCCACAGGTGGTGGTGCTGACAGCTCTCATGGTGTTGGATGCTCAGGGATTCTTATAATTCTCAGGAAGCACACTCTCATTTAGGACCCATCCTGACCTTATCAGAATAGTGTGAATGTTTGTTTGTGAGCTCTGATTCTGAACCCCTTGATTAACTCAATCTGTATTCGGCATTTGTCAGTTTTGCAGTTGTTGTTTTTTGGCAGGTTTGTGTTTGCAAACTCACTCTTGTAGTACAGTTCTCTATTTTTGATCTTTGTGGATCTGTTTGTTTTTTTGCATAAATGTTAATAGATGTGGCGCCATCATTTGAGTCAAATCAAGGCCTGTGGCACTGCCATATGAAGCCTTTTGTCCCACACTGCTTGTTTACATATAGTTTTTTTTGCATTTGTTCCCATCCTACAGTGCTAATTTCCTCTAGTGAGACTATTTTTAGCTGGGTCTTGACAATACAGAATGGCATGTGTGCTGACAGACTGTTTTTAAGAGAGAAGTTCGGAACAAGAGGAGGTCAGATCTAATTGCCTTCTTCCCTCAAGAGTATGTGCTTATGTTAAGTTATTTTTGTGTGTCCAGTATATTTATCGTGTCCAGAACATTTCATAGTAGTCAGCACCCTCAGGTTGGTGTGAAGAGGTCTTGAAAGGTATTTCAGGGCAGCATTGCATTCTGTGCATGAAGTTTCCTTTGGGACAGAAATGGCAGCATCTCTCACTCTCCTTCTGTTTGATTTGAACATTAGATAAGGCTCAGGCTACGTCCCCCAGCCTCTTTGATTTGGGCCGGGTTTCCGGGGAAGGGAGAACATTCCTCTTGAACTACCCTTATCCCTGAAATGACCAGCTGGCTGAAAAAATGTCCTCCAATTGTTTCCATTCTGCTTCATGTTTTAGTTTAGGAAAGAAGTTAAAAACAAGAAAATAATAATTTATTTATTATTATTTATTAATTTAATAAATAATGCTGCTCTATTTAGTCACACATTCTTTGTACGGTACTTTCACTCTAATCGTTTTAAACAGGAAAATAAAGAGAAAGTACATTTTGTGCATTTTTTGGTCAGTTGTGTTGCACTACACAAAGTCTGAGCTCACTAATTTAAGACCAACTTGTCTTAGCTATTGCAAAGGATTGCTGTGGATCAGCAGGTGCCTTATACATCCTTTTATGTCCATATATGGATGTTGGCTTATGTTCAATAATGTCTGCCATTATTAGTCAGGAGAGCTTGAGTATGTTCTGTAGCATATAAGGAAATGCAAAGCACTCACTATAGTGCTCAAGCTTTGGTAAATGTAATGCTGGTTCACATTGGTCCATGTTAAAGGTGGAGTGTGTAATTTATTCTCTGCTAGCATTGCTAAACAAAATTGAACACAATTTAAAAATACTAAAATTCCCTCCATTATCTTTTGTTTGGGAAAACAGTTTCCCATCATAAAATTTGCACACTTAAGTTAACACAAAAATGAAAGTTCTGTCACCGGTTTCTTGCCCTCATGTCATTCCAAACCTTTATGATTTCCGCTGATCTTCGAAACGGCTTATTAGATATTTTGTGAACAAATATGTGAGAATGAACTTTGATTCTCGTGTGGCAAGCAAGTACGATAGAACTTCCACTGCATATATGGTTTTTATTTTACCATTACAGTGGATGCTAATTTTACTGACTCTCTTAAATAATGGCCCATGGATGTAAATATGGGTCGTAAACAACCTTGTGTGTGTTGATGATGGTTTAGTGCAAGTAAACTGGTGAATTCACCACAAGAGATCGGATGGGTACGGTACGGTATGGGTATGGTATGGTCTCACACATACACACCACCAAACATCAACAGCAGACTCTCCGCTGTTGTATTTCCATGGCTTGTTGAAGTCATGTTGGCTGGCCTTCCGTGCCCCAGTGCTGTGTAAGCATGTTCAACGCATGATCAAGGCTTATTCTGGGCGCTCATTCATATGAGTCAGTTCTGCAATATGATAGACGCTTCCTAGAATCTCTCCGAGACCGAATACGCCACACACACACTCACTTATCTTTATGGTTTTGAGATACACAGCCGCTCCTAGCAAACTTAGTGCTTGAATTGAATTAACTCATTATACGTTTTCCGTCAGATAGCTTGATTTCCTATAACTACAGAGCTGTTCCAGGCAGCATGTACAGTACAAGAATGTTCCAGATTATATAATGTGTATTCCGCAGCGTACTTGATTGGTGGTTCAGTGTGTATTTAAAAAATAAATAAATAAAATGAAACCATTTGTGCGCCTGGTTACTGCTGAAGGTTTTCTGGACGTGAAATGCATCCTGTCTGATGAACTGTTGGACAGCTGGCGGAAATCGGATCAGTCGTTTGTTGTAATCGTAGATTAAAGTGCTCTCATCTTGATTGGTGTTCCCACTGTTTTGTATCCGTATTTGCAAATACACACTTCTTAGCCCAATTTTGAAGTTGAGGTCATGAAAATGTCAACTTGAAAGCACCCTAAGCACCAGGTTATAGGGTGGGAAAGCTTACGGAGCATTGACTGTAGAGCTTTCATCCCTTTCGGTGTGGTTACAACAGCCATAAAATGTCATCTGCTCCAACAAAGTGACCCCTCTGTGCTGTTTTATGGTGTCAGATCACTCTGGCAGCGATCTGCTGTAAGTCAGTCATACCAATATGTGTGTGTCTGTACCTGTGTAGAAATGTAGCATGTGACCTGAGAAGCATCAAATGATGGTCAGTCAGAAAGAGTGCTGACTTGCCACCCGCTGATCCGATATTTACATGGGTCCTACTTCTTGCCTTATCGTAAGCCGCCTTTTGTTTCCGCAGACGTTTTCCTCTTTTGTTTTTTATCCGCCATCTCTATCTTTCTGATCTGAAAGATATCAGTAAAGATACAGAAAGATGTCAGTATCACTCGGCTCGGCTAATGTCCGTCATGTGCACTGAGCGCTCTCTCTCCTCTGCATCATGAGTAGACACGCCCCTTACTGCTGATTGGCTACAAGTTTGTTTTGGTACTTGGCCCGACTCGTTTTTGAAAAAATACATACCCCACCTTTAACTGAAATAAAATATAATAAGGCCAACATTGCTTTTTTTTGTTTGTTTAGATAATAAGAAATGAGAAATTAATAAAAAATATATATAGACAAATTAATTGCTAAAGCTTTAACTAAGATTAAAGTGAAAATAGAAAATGTTAATATTAACATTAACAATCACTATAATATTATATCAATAACACAAATAATTCTATATCATGCATTTAGAAAATAGATGGTGTCATTTTTTTGTATATCATGCAGACTTTAAAGCATAGCTGTGATCCCGATGACAACCTGATGATTAGTTCTTACAAATATGCTTTGCGCTATAAGTTAGAACAGGGAGTTGATCAGCATTCCTGCTTCCAGACCCTCCCAAACTCACAGGCGAGACCGTAAAGTGTCTTGTCCTGGATGAACTCAGCCGACCAGTTCAAGATACTTCCTGCATTGTTCACCAACTATTTGAAATCTAAACAGCCAAATGGGAGTTGTTCCATAAATCAGAAAAATGTTGGGAGCTGATTAAATGGGAGATGTCTGCAGATAGCAGAGCGCAGTGCCTCTTCCATCAAGATAGGTCTGCATGAGGGGAAATTCATGAGTCAAAACTCGTTGAGACTAATCAGCGGAGTTTGTTCTCAGAACAAACATGCTGCTTCATTCTGAATGTCACTGTCTAAATATGGAAAAGTCCAGTGGGGAAGCAGTCCAAGTGATTCAGATTTTCTGTTTATTTTCTGTCTTTTTGGTTTACAAAAAACAAAACAAAAACTTGATATAAACTGCTTGCCTGACGGTTTTTTTTTTTGGTTCCCCTCTATAATAATTTATGTATTTAATCATTTTTTTATGTAGGATTAGCTAAGATCTGCTTCCTTATAATTCTTTGTGGTCCTTTCAGCCATAAAGAATTTTTTCAAGATGTTATTTTAGAAAGCGAAAAGTTATCTTGAGGATACTTGTTTGAATGCACT